CAGGACCGCATTCCTTAACGGGAATTTGCTCGAGGATGTGTACATGACACAACCCGAGGGTTTTGTTGATCCTAAGAGTCCGAGGAAGATGTGCAAGCTTCAGAGATCCATTTATGGACTGAAGCAGGCTTCGAGGAGCTGTAATCTTCGATTTGACGAGGCAGTCAAAACGTTTGGCTTCCTGCAAAACGAAGATGAGCCATGCGCTTAAAGAAGGTCAGTGGGAGCGCAATAGTCTTCCTTGTACTTTATGTGGATGATATATTGCTCATCGGAACTGACATTCCTACCTTGCAAGGAGTAATATCCTGGCTAGGATCGGTCTTTTTGATGAAGGACTTAGGAGAAGCCGCCTATATTCTAGGAATCAAGATCTATAGAGATAGATCGAGGAGGCTTCTTGGTCTAACTCAGAGTACATACGTTGACAAGGTCTTGAATCGGTTCAAGATGCAAGACTCCAAGAGGGGTGCCTTGCCAATAGGATATGACGTGGCTCTTAGTAAGACTCAGTGTCCAAAGACACAAGATGAGCAAGAGCGCATGAGTAGGATTCCATATGCCTCGGCTATTGGATCCATCATGTACGCCATGTTGTGTACTCGTCCGGATGTATCATATGCATTGAGTATGACTAGTAGATATCAGTCTACACCAGGTGAGGCTCACTGGATTGCGATCAAGAACATCCTTAAGTACTTGAGAAGGACTAAGGATTTGTTGTTGGTGTATGGCGGATTGGAAGACGAGCTCGATATAAGGGGTTATACCGATGCTAGTTTCCAGACCGACAGAGATGACTTCAGATCGCAGTCAGGTTACGTTTTCTGCCTAAACGGTGGGGCTATTAGTTGGAAGAGTTCCAAACAGCCAACGGTTGCAGATTCGACTACAGAAGCTGAGTACATAGCAGCATCGGATGCAGCTAAGGAAGCTGTTTGGATCAGGAAATTCGTGGGAGACTTGGGGGTCATTCCTAGCGTTGCAGATCCCATTGAGTTGTACTGTGACAATAATGGTGCGATCGCACAAGCTAAGGAACCTCGGTCACACCAGAGATCCAAACACATACTCAGACGATTTTATTTGATCAGAGAAATCATCGACAGAGGAGACGTGAAGATAAACAGAGTGTCGACAGATGATAATATTGCCGACCCGCTGACG